ACTTTTCACCCTTCAGCCTCCTGTTGAGGCTCTTCATTCTCTCCATCTAATTTTCCTAAAGCCCACTCTCTCAGTCTCCTTCAACTTTCTACAATTCGACCCCCTCCTAGTCTTTTTTTCTCTAATCCATCCTTCTGCACCCCCCCCAACCCATTTGTGTCTCCTATCTGCATCTGCTCATCACATTCTTCCTCCCTCACTCTCTCTCTGCTGGCCCAGCTTGGTTTCCTCTGCGTGGCTGGCCTGAGCGGACTTTTTCGCGCGAGTGTGGTAAGAGGAGAAAGAGGAAGACAAAGGTAAGCACCGATATGGAGGACATTTAAGAGTGTTTGTCTGTAAGAAAGAGAGAGAGAGAGAGACAGTGGAGAAAAGAAAAGCAGGGGGATAGAACACCTGGAAGACAAAAGAGTGAGAGGAAGGCGATGGTGGCACCAAGAGCCCTTCAAACATTTTAATAGATATTTATGAAGAATCAAGGTGCTCGGTGGAGTGTTTTTACACTGTGTAAAGACAACACACTAGGATGAGACGCATGCCTCAGTAAGCCAAGCTGGCAGCATGTCTGTGTGCAGGCACTTTGCTGTCTGTCACATAGTGTTATGGAACTGCTGCTGCTGCGTGCTCCCACAGTGGAGAGAAGGAGGCGAACAGAGGGGGGAACTTCATTATTCTCAGAGAGCTTTTTTGTGCAATGTGTTGACAGAGCGGGAATCTCTGCATCTGCACAAGCAGGGAGAGTGAGAGGCAGAGAGGAGAGTGAGAAAGAGGATGAACAACAGTGCAGTTAGTGCTGAAGCGCTCGGCTTCAAAGCATTATCACTCCTGGAAACAGGAGCCATTTCCAAAAATCCCATTCGCACACCCTCCCTGCTCTTTCTTTCCTCACGCTCTTTATTTCTGTTTGTTTTTCTTGCATTGTTGGGGATGTCTCTGTTGTTCTCTCATATCTTGTGTTGCTCAGAGTTCACAAGTAGCAGGATGTTGTCTTGATGTCAAACCCACCGATCGCGACCATCGAGGTGCACAAAAACACTGAACTGTGACGAAACGGCAGATTGAGATGAAATGACTCCGAAAGACAAACACCGTTGAAACAAAAGACGCCAAAAAAAGTCTGTGTGTGAGAAGGGCAAATGAAAAGAGGAGGGGAGAAGACAAGTAAAGGGAAACGAGGACGCCCGCAGGGTTGTTCATTGTGTCTTGGTCCTAAGAGCAGTGTCTGACACCGTGTATGACATTTAACTGTGATGCCTCTGCCAGTGAGCTGCTGTGTTGGGAATGTGCCCGTCAGCTTTCATTTCTGTGGAGACAGTTGTTTGTCTTGTGTTGGCATATTGGTTGTGAGTGACAGAAAATGGAAAACAGAGGTTTGTTAAACGAGGCTTCAACTCACTTGGGAGTCCTTTGTTAATGCAGGGACAACACGGATATCATAGACCAGTGGTTATGTAGCCCACTATCAACAAAACCCCCCCAGTTCTTCACATAGTCCACACATATGTCATATTTTTAACTAAATTTCAACCCAAACTAGGCAGCACTGTTTAAAAAAAAAATGCTGTAAAATTGCCAACCTAACCTGTAACCTGGACTGCATGACATACACTATTCTACTGGCTTCTATTTTAGCCATTTATCTACTACTTTAGCTGTTTACTAAACTTTTTACTTGTGCCTTTTGTAGCGATCAACCACTGATCCATTACTTTTGAGCTAACTGCTATCTATTTTTTGACTCTTCTGCGCTACTTTGTGTGCACCCTAACTCATTATGCTGCATTTAAAAAAAAAAAAAACAGTGCAAACTTTTTCCATGGTTTTCCAAATTCTGACTGGTAATGCAGAAATGGCCTCTGGGACACATGCATCTTTGTTTAAAAAAAGTATTCTGCCCGATATTTACTGACGCAGTTATGACCCAGGCTCATTTCCTATCATCTTTAAACCTTTTCACCGTTTCCTGTTTAGTCTCAATAATTTGATGATAATTCACCACATAGACTTTCACCCATTTGACAGGATGAAGTAGATGAGCAACAAAGACATCTAAATTATGAGAGTCGGTTATGTGCTTGTGTGTTTGTGTAGTGATGTGTGAGATTATGAGATTATTGGCTCAGAGAGCAGGCAAGCTTGGGCCAAGAGAAGTTGTGGGATGAAAGGAAAAGGAAACCAGTGAAATGGAGGAGGGAGAGGAAATGAATCACAATCACATCAAGCTGCAGAAAGGTCAAAGTAATATCAACAGAGTGAGGAGATTAAACTGACAGTTCAGTAAGATTAAAAAGCAAAAAAAAAAGAAAGAAAAAGAAGTAGGGTTTGCTGAACAGACGTTTGCAATGGAGTCAGACTGTTTACACTCGGCTCTTGGTTGTGGGCTTGTGCGCATTTGCGCACGCACGCGCCTCCTGCCTCCCATGGGTCTCCGGTGTCCCTGCGCTCCAGGTGGGCTTTGCATTTTTAATCGATACTGTCTGTAGTGATTAACACCCGCGTTTTCTCTGCAGCAGAAAAACAAAAGGAAGGAGAGGGAGACAGAAAGAGAGATGAAAATCTGTCATACATGAGGCACGGCGTGTGTGTGAGAGTGTGTTTGTGCATGCGTGTTTGTTTGGCGGTAATGACCCTCTGCCTCTGGGCTCCTACTGAGTATGTTTATCTCCCACAGCAGCACCGGGCAAAAATAGACGATGCATCACTGACACGCGCACACACACACACCTTGTGCAGTTTCTCTTTTTCCTCTCCTTTGCTCTAATTGCCTCCCTCCTGCATTCTCCATTTCACACACGCTCCCTTGCTCCAGTCCATATTACTTACTCCAGTCTCACACACTCTTTTCTTCCTATTTCACTCCTTTCTCTATTTTCCCTCCCACTTGTGTTGCAATATGCCTATTAATGATGCAGCTAGAGCACCAGTGCCAACTTCCTGCCTCTGACGGAGAGAGAGAGAGAGAGGAGTGTAGTTGTGGTGTACATGCCCTGCTTTGTACCACTCCCTCTTATCTCTCCACCCCTCTGTCTGTGTTGTTTTCCTCAGAGTTGGCCCATGCGAGCAGCGTGTGGACTGAGTGCAGCTGTTTCGTTTAGAGAAGAACCCAACATGTGAGAAGATGTCTGTTGGAGGTTGTGCATGTCCCGGTGAGTGCCTACTCTCTCTTCTTTATCTCTTCCTGTCTCTGATCTCCCTCTTTCCTCCTCCGTCTCTGTGCTCAGTGGTGCTGTCAAAAAGATGACTTATGTAAAAGTGCTGCAAACCCCCCTAGGGCCAACGTCAAGCTATGTGAGTGTGAGTTTGTGTGGGCATGCAGTGTGGCGGTGAATCCATGCTTCACTCGCAGCACATGTCCTAAAACAAGGTTATAGACTGAGGCTACCACACTTTAGGATTGAGTTGTTCAGCAGAGCCTCTCAGTCACGCTAGCCTGCTGTGCGGTTGATCAATGGCTCTTTGAGTTTTACCACATACAGACACTGAGATATCAATAAGTACTCCTTTTCTCAGCTTCATCTGACCACTGCAGTTCTGCTTAACGGATATTAGGGTTCTTGTACATCTAGAAGAGTTGTTGGAACTCACTGCTTAGTGTCACATACATTTTAGATTTGTCCCGGGGGTCAGAACTGAATGAGGCAAAAGTACTTTAATTTACTTGCTTCAAAATGGTTTAAAGCTCCCTTGATGGATTTAAACTATTAATGAGGGTACTTAAGACTTAACCAACTTGCCTAGAGTTAAGCTACATTTGGGCTATTGCACAGCTCTTTGTCATTGTGACTTTGCATTTTGCATTCCTGCATGTCTTTCAGAAAATAAGACTTGCACTCTTGAGCTTTAAAGGTTACCTAAAGTATGGATTATAACCACAGAATTGAGTGTTATTGATATTCAGGATCTACAGTTGGCTCTTGTGCTACTCTATCAGAGCAAGAGGAAGAGCATCTAGTACAGTCTGAGTCTGTCTGCACATGTCAGTCTCTGGCAAGCAAAATGTTTTGGCAGTTTTTATCAAGTACATCTTCTAATCTGTTCTCTTCATGGTGTGTTTGATCCCCTTTTTTTTTGACTTTGGAGCAATTTCTCTTTAAAAGTATCCCACTGAGAGCAGGCAGGCTACAGAGATGGTTGCCTTGCACACAGTGAAAAGCCTCACTGTGCCAGGGGACGGGCTCTGTGCATCACATTGGAAAAGATATCAGATAGAAATTGAATCGTAGCATCTGCTCGGGGGATTTTGGAGAGGGCAGATTGAATTAGGGTGTCAGTATCATTTTAATGGGGCTGCTCTGATTCATGGGCAATCAGCTATCAAATGGAGTAATATTAGGGCCTCTGCTTGATGTCCTTCTCTTAGATGTTTTTGTTTCTGTACTATCTAGCTTCTTCTCTCCCTCCTGTAGCATTTCAGTGACTCTGCCTCCTTCGTTCCCCCTTTTAACAGACCGTACTGTGGAGCAGAAACTTTTAATGACATCCACATGTTTTTGAAGGATGTACGGAGAACACGGTCCACCAGAGTGATCTGCCATGTGCATGCTGTGTACCACCGCTTAAACAGTCACAGACTTACATAGGCTTACACATGCGTGCTTGGAAAAATTTGCAGTGCAGGATGCAAGTACACTCGCTCATTTGTGCACCATCACGAGGAGCCTGCTAGGACAAGTTTAGGCTGGTAGATCTCACAAATAACCAGAGTCATGTTGATCCAAGCTGGTTTGCTGTTTCTCTTTCTCTCTCTCTCTCTCTCTCTCTCTCTCTCTCTCTCTCTCTCTCCCTCCCTGTGTCTGCATGCTGTAAATCATTATATTTGAAGGCTGGTTTGTTTACATTCTTGTATGTTCCTGAATGGGAGATCCTCCCCATCATTCCTGCATGAATCTACATTGTAAAAACAAGTTGTCTATAGTTCTAACATCATTTTCACATTTATTTGGTCAGAATTGCACAGATGTGTTTTGTTTTTTCACTAGGCATACTTGCTGTTTATAAGCCAGAATAAAGAACGGCATTCTCATGGCTGTCTAGCTCGGTGACAACCCTGTGACATCCTGCTGTTGTTGTGACTTTGCTGTGAATTAACCTTTTTAAGGCTTTGTTCCTTGCGTGAAGGAGATTCGTCCTAACACAGTGGAGCCAATCACATCCTTTGTTCAGGCTAAATGGTAAAAATAGATTGCCTGTGAGCTGAAGATACCCCCCCCCCCATTCTCGCATGCACCCACTCAAGCATGCGCTCCCCTTTGCTCACCACTCTCTCCGTCTCTCACCCATCCCACTCTAACCCCTCCCTCCCATTTCTGCCTTCCTCATCTCACTCTCTCGCCCCTCTTCCTTTCCCTCTTTCACCCTCTCTTCCTCTCCCTTTCAGTCACTCCTTCATCCCTCGCCTACTGCCTTTTGCAGTAAAAGTGGCGTTACCTCATGCAGAAAGTCACGTGGTTCCTGATTGAAGAAAAGTGACTTAAAGCAGAGCCAAGATGGCAGCCAAACAGCTAGGGTTTTTTTTTTTTGATTACTGTTACACAACAACGTGACTCCTTCAGCTGTATCTCACTGCACTGAAAAGCCTGCCTCGCTTTCTTTTTCTCCTCAATTCTTTTGCTTCTTCTCCTTTCCCCGCCTCTCTCTATTCTACTGAGGCTCTCAGATCTTGTTTGCTAGATCAAAATGGCTGTGTGTGCAGAGGCAGAGAGAAAGAAGGAATGCGTGGGAGACAGACAGAGATGCTGGGGGAGTCGGAGAATTTTTTTTTTTTTGTTGGGGGGGGGCAGAGTGGAGATGAGCTGTAGTGATGTCACATCTGCTGCAGGCTGACAGGATGGCAAGAGAAAGCTGGCATGTGCCACCCAGCTGAAAACAGGGAGGATAGGGAGACATCAAAATGGGGAGGAAATTATTTTTCTATTGAAGCACACCTGTAATTGTAAAACATGTACAAGCTAGTGAAGATGACAGCAGACTGCTGTAAAAAAAAAAAGTATAAGGAGAGCTGAAAACTGTATCTTTGTGCCGCCTATGTGGACTCAACACCAGGAATGGTTTATTAATCCAACCAGATTTGTTTTTTCTCCCCCTTTTTTATTAAATGTATCATGAATTATTCAACCTGTGCAAAGTACAGTTGGTGTCAAGATGGGTTAGAGTGCTGAATGGAAAGCCTTATATTTGATCAGTTTTATGCAAATCAAGACTAATATTGAAACACTGACATTATTGAATGGATTTTTGCTGTAAGTTGTTTCTTCTGCTTCTAATTTTGGGTAAGAAAGTAAGTGATGTTGTGCATTGCTTTAAGTTTATATATTTCATTACAATTAAATGCTGTGTCTTTATACCCTTTTGGGATTTCCATGCTTAGTCTCTAAATAATATCGCAGTCTGTCTTAGTTCTTAAGTTTTAAACAGCTAAAATTTTATTTGGAGAACTTACCACCTCCACGAATTTCATTTCATTCTCAGGGAGACTGTGAAATTCATTTTAAAACCTAAAATTTTAACTCTTTCCAAGGAATTTGTTAATTCAATCTGGATGCAGGTCCGAGATCTGTGTTGTTGCAAGTGTTCACCACACCGATCTTCAGGTATTTCTCTCTGTCGTTATCCTTTGCCATATCTTGAACACACACTGTTAACTTCCTCTCGGTAAACCACAGCAGCATCCTCTAGGTGACGCCTGTGTTAGGACAGTCTCCTGCCTTGTTGCTATCACTACCAGTCAGGTGTCACAACAGTTTCCCAGACAGGCTTATACTTCCACTGCGGTGTCTAAAAAAGCAGCAACAGGAATTGGAACATCCTCTTCTTCACCAGCTTTCTTCAGATTTCCTCAGTGCTGCTAAAAGCTCTTTTGTCACACGCTTGGTCAAAGTCGTAATGCATTTGAAGGGCCTGGGAAATGTTTTCGAGGCATAATTACACGTGGCTAGTGTGTGATGACCTACTTTGTTTATCAATATCTGTTTTTCCTAGTATATTATTTGCCTAAGCAAGCCAGAGTTTAAATAACCAATGAATAAATAAAAATGGAAAAACCTTTTTTTACAACAATAAAACAAAGCACAGAAGTCGAGCAAGACAAAGCAGTCTGAATGCAAGACAGCCCAACTCTGTATATACATATATATATATAAATAAAAGACGATATATCGGTGTTTGTACACGAATACCTGTGCAGTTCAAAACCTCCTTTTCTGAGACCAAAATAGGACTTAGTTCCTGCGCTATGGTGCCTTTAATGTTATCACTGCCTGCCAGGTGACTCTATGTGCTAAATGTGACTCTTACCGAATACAGATTAAAGAGGATTCAGTTCAGAGTAATGCCTGCGGTAATGCATATTGCTATGAAATCCACACTAATGGATTTTGTGCATATGTATATTGTTGATAATAGAATTTAATATACAACTACAGCTGAGCATGTACAAATTTGTTGTTAAGGCCAAAATCAAATATTACTGTAAACTCCAGGACAGTAAATTCATTCTACTTTGAAGCATGAGATACATTTTTTTTTCTTTTATCAGCATCTGCCAGCAGAGGGAGATGCTGTCCTTTCACACCTCTGTGCAAGTCCATCAAAACTGACTTGCACAAGGAGTTGATATACCAGCAAGCTATGGTTCTGTTCAACAAGCGATCTTAAAGTTGGGCTTGTGTTATAACTAACAGTTTAGACCACAGGTGGTGCATCCTTCTCTGAAAACTGCGTACAGCAGTGCCTGCTTTGTTTGTTTTTTTTTGCATACAGTTTTACATATCTCTGCTCTATATCTAACATAGGGTTTGTGCGCTGAGACGCTGGTGTGGGTCAGATGTGTTTACTGTACATCTCAAAAAGCATAGCTTCACTTCCCTAGGCTGCACTCCCGGCTTGTGGAAATTCTAACTGACTGGCAGCTCAAGTGAAAGCCTCAACAAATGAGCTTAAAATGCACTTTGAGACCACAAATGGTTCTCTAGGCCTCAAATATATTGCTTGTAAACATTAGAGTGGTTATTGATTAAAAGTGAGGCTGCAGATTAGCCTATGCGAACTGAGGCTATGACGGGCACAGAGCTGTGGTTGAAAAGATTTGAGTCATCAGCCGCGTCAATCACTTTTAATAGGCCTTTACAAAGCTACAATTAAAAGCGCTATGTTGGTAGCTAGTCATAACTGATTTAATGGTATAAATAGGATGTTTGATTCACACTCCATGAAAAGAATAAAGGTTAAGGGGTTTTAAGATTGTGCAGGACTTGGATGACCACTAGTTTAAATGGTTCCAGCACTGCTAACACAGTGTTACTTTTACAGAATACTCTAAAAGGACTACTCATTCTTCATGAGTGATCATCATGACTGATTGACTGTTTCAGTGCCCTCACACAGAGCTTTCATAAATGGACGGACACTCTGTGTGGGAGGTTGAGAAGAAATCATCTCAGACACTGCAGTTTCACAGGACATAATCCTGTCACTTTGATCCACAGTTAAAGTAGGAAAAAGACATATTTTATTGCAGCCATATCTGATCATGAAATCTGAGATTCAGCTTTTACTGAGCAGTAATGAAGTCTATGTAACTTTTTAGATTAAAAATGCTTGAATGAGGTAAAAAAAAAAAAGTGCAGACATAATGATGCATTTTTTTTCTTTTTGCAACACGTGGTTACTTGGTCAAGTATTAAGATATTTAATTATCTAGCACTGCAGTTAGGGAGCAATGTGGTGTGTTTTAAAAATCAGCCTGTTCGCACACAATTTTAACAAAGTGAAGTGCAAGATAGTTAAATATCTGAGATATGTCACATGTAATACTTGGACAAAAAGATAGACTTGCAAGTGAGCTACATGTTTCAGTGTATTTCACTTGTGTGGCATCTTATTACAATGCTATTATAGACTATGACACTTTATGACTTGTAATAAATACAGTAGGCAACGTGCAGATGGATATTTGATTGCATCAATGAAAGAAGAAAAAAAGAGCTACCTTACCCTCCTAAACTCTGCTGACCCAAATATTATTCATACCCACTATACTTCAGCGCAGGGCTGGCACAGAAACGGCATGGCCCACAATGCTGTCAGACTGTGGAATAAGATTAAGTGAGACGGTTGTTCCTCGCAATGGGGACCCACCTTGTACTACACTGGGGGCCAATGGTCTACTGATGGGTCCCAGTCAGGACAAATTGGGGGCCCCAATTTGTCTTGACTGGGGCCTGAGATTTTTGTCCCGGTCTGTGTGTAGGGATGGGCGGAGGAGCCTGGAGGAAGGCGGGGCCTTTGTTTGTTCGTGTCTCGGCTGGCAGGAACAAAGGGTCCGGTAGTAGTAGAACACAGTCCTCCAGACAAATGACATTTAAAACATATAAGCAGGAATTGCAAATTTACCAGAAGCGGGGAAGTAGCGGGAGTGTTTCAGTTTCCGTCGTCTGCTGTTTGGTTTAGGACCACAGGAGTACATTATCAGCGGCGGAGAATTCACCATCCAGCCGCTCCGGCTAGCAGCAAGGCTAGCTGGCTAGAAACACCGACCCGAGGTGTTGAGCAGCACCGCGTTTAGGTGGACGTTTCTCTGCAGGTAACTCAGTCAAACTGCTATACCAGGTTAGCAGCATCACAGGTTCACAATATCCGCTGAAATTGATCGTAAACAGACACGGAGGGATAGGGAGCGGAGAGCGGTGATATTTAGCAAGTGGGTTAATAGCTTAGCAATGGCATCCGTTTTCTGCAAACGGTTAATGTTAATGAACGCGGCCCTGTGGTTCAGTTTACGCCTGGCCCGTGCTGTTAAAGTGGATGCTCGCGCATTTTATACTGTATACTGTATACTGCTCATGCATGTAAATACACGGAGCAATGAGGTGACACCAGAGAGCTGTGCAAATACGTTAGGAGTCTTGCACATAGCTTTGGATGTTTTATTGGCTGATGGCCATCCTCTGGATGCAGCTCTATTGTTTGCATTAAGCAGTTTGGGCGGACTGAACTGCATCAAAGTCCAGTTAAGTTAACCTTTTGTTAGCGTAGTGAAATATGCATCGTGATCTCTCACCTTGTTAAAGTTTACTCTGTTCAAGGATGCTTAAGGACTAGTCATTTGTCAGTACGTGACATCCTTTAACCTCAGGTGCCTCTGAGCCTGTCTTTTCGTGTTAGTAGTTGTTTACATGCATAAGGATCTAGTGATCTGCAGGGTTTTGTAGATGGGTTTAGTACTGCTGACTGAACCTCATATTTGTGTGTGTATTTATGTTAGAGGTGAGAATCCTCCATGTGTCAACCCTTTTTTTTCAGGGCCTTTGTTTTAAAATATCTTTGCATAATTTGATTGTAGCTTCATTGTAGCTGTTTCTGTTTTCACATTAAGGGTTGTGATTGAAGAAAGGTTGTTTTTGTTTTCACAATAGAGATGTGATTTGTTACACTGGACATTATGTTTTGCACAAAGCTGTGGGATCAGCATCAAAATGAACAAAGGCTTATCATATGGGCCTGAATGCAGTCTGGGACTAATGGCTAGACTTGCTGGGGGTGGGTGTATAGGTCAGAGGTAATGTGTAGGGAACCATTGTTGGGTGGCCTTGAGCAAGATCAGCCTCATACTAATAGGGAGGAGAAGATGACCTACCATGACTCTTGAGGGTATACAGAAAGAAGGAAGAAAAGGGTGAAAGTAAATGGAGGAGGAGTTGTAGTAGTGTGTGGTGAAGGAGGACAATTAATGCTTTTCTCTCTCTATTTGAACCTAACAATCACCATTTGAGAATTGGTGCACATGTAGATAACTCGATCAGTTCATAGAAAGTGGCAAATATCTTACATTTACACCCCTCTATGGTTTTGGTTTGCATTAGCATGCATGGCGCTGGGAGTCGACGTCTCTCCCCCTGCTGGTTTTAATTAAGTACAGCCCCCTCTTTCCTATGCCAAGCAGACAGTGACCAACCGTTGTGCATAAATTGTAGGTCAAATTAACATTATGCAGGTGCCTGTTGTGAATACCACATTTACAGGCAGTGCAGGCATTGTTAAACAACTGGATACAAATGGGTTTTGCTGTTATTTAAATGTTGCTAATACCTGCCTATCAAAACATACTTTAAATTCCTCATGTTGGTGCCCCACTTCTGTGTCTGCTTCAAAGGGTAGGGGAACTGGAGGGTTGCTGTGACTGGCCAGTCTGACTCAGATTTGTAGGGGTTGTTTTCCTACAACCTGGGTATAAAATATCTTTTGAGACCCTAAAACTTGAAGCAGCTGTTTGTGTGGAGCCTTCTTGAGTAGATGTTTTCTCAGCATTGCCAGATTGTTTGAGCATGACTGTGTTATCTGGGCAGACAGGGGTTAACAACAGCCAGTGTGGGGTGTGGGG